CGATGACTGTGCACGTAGTCAAATGGTCAGCCTTTATCTAATAAAAGATATGCTCAAAGCTCATTTGCACCCGGCTGGATCACTTGGGTCTGTATGGCTTGGATCTCCGGGGACGGACCCCTCGCCAGGCGCTGCAGGAAAAGAACTAAGGGTGCTTGTGAAAGTGGCCATCAGGGATTTGAACTCGTGCGTGTACCACTTGATAGTAAAGGCTTACCCCATTAGACTACTGCGTCAGCGCTGACTTTTATTAGATAAAGGCTGACCATTTGACTACGTGCACAGTCATCAAGGCTGACCATTTGACTACGTGCACAGTCATCGATGACTGTGCACGTAGTCAAATGGTCAGCCTTTATCCAATAAAGGATTCACGCACGGGTTCGAATCCCAGTGGATCGCTTTCAAGGCACCATTATCGGCTAATAGCAGCATCTTGTGGCGAGGGGTCCGTCCCCGGAGATCACTACACCCTATCAGATCCACTGGGATTGGCTACGAGCCGAGAGTGTATCTTTTATTGGATAAAGGCTGACCATTTGACTACGTGCACAGTCATCGATGACTGTGCACGTAGTCAAATGGTCAGCCTTTATCCAATAAATCGATGACTGTGCACGTAGTCAAATGGTCAGCCTTTATCCAATAAAGGATACACTCTCGGCTCGTAGCCAATCCCAGTGGATCTGATAGGGTGTAGTGATCTCCGGGGACGGACCCCTCGCCACAAGATGCTGCTATTAGCCGATAATGGTGCCTTGAAAGCGATCCACTGGGATTCGAACCCGTGCGTGAATCTTTTATTGGATAAAGGCTGACCATTTGACTACGTGCACAGTCATCGATGACTGTGCACGTAGTCAAATGGTCAGCAAACCTCACAGGTGATTTTGCATTGAAGATTGCCGGAAACATAGACGTGTTGAGTAAAGATAGCTGCATACTGAAACCTCACAGATGGATTGGTTTTTGAGTTTGCCAGACACATAGNAGTCAAATGGTCAGCAAACCTCACAGGTGATTTTGCATTGAAGATTGCCGGAAACATAGACGTGTTGAGTAAAGATAGCTGCATACTGAAACCTCACAGATGGATTGGTTATTGAGTTTGCCAGACACAGACGCTTTGAGTGGCGATAGCTACAGACTGAAACCTCACGAGTTGAGTGATGTTGGAGTGCCGGACACATAAATACAGTGAGTGGTATTTTTCCGGCCCCCAGCCCAGGCACAATTGATTAATATCTCCACTATGCAGACGATTCACACAGTAAACTATACATCATGTGAAAGCTATGAACAAGAGCTTTCGAATGAACACACTTTTGGCTGCGGCAAACAAGATGGGCAAGAGCTACGCGGGGTTGGCCGTTTTCATAGAATCGGCGAGAAATAGGAAAAACGCGCAATCGACGACGAAGACTTTTTTTGCCGCAAAAAAAAGTTCCATTTTTGGAATCCCCGCACAAAATGGGTTCTAAAAACGTTTGGTTGGACCCTCCGAGCGTCTGCATAGCAGAGGAAAAATTCAAATTTCTCAGGGCGTGCAGGGTACGCTTTTGCCACAGCTCTTGGGCGGGACCATGGACCCCGATACAGATGCGCTGTTGCATGTGAAGAGAACTCTGCCTGCTGAGTACGAGCTCGGAGAACTCGAGGTGCACAGAGGGGCTCCACGAAAGTACCGCATTGGTCTGAAAGCAAGACACAGCAGCCAGGCCGGCCAGCCGTTACTTCAGTGGCACAGCCGGACGTTCACCACGAAGAGTGCACGTCGCAGAGACAGAGCCGCCGAGTCTCAAGCATGCAGAACCATCACAGCGCAAACATGGTTAGACCTTGCAGCAAAGACCATCCAGCATGAAGCGATCCAGCAACCACCCTCCCGGGTTACAACGGGTGTCAGACTTGCAGCTCCCGCACCTGGTTCTCTTCAAGAACCTGGTGTTGGAGGCGCCGAAAGGTTGCGAGAAGGGTGCGGCGGCGCCAGAGAGGGCGCCGGGAGGAAGAAAGGAAGCCAAGGAAAGAGGGCCCGGCGAGAAAGAGCTACCGTGACTGCCTAGAGGTCGGCGCACCAAGGGTGAGCGGGATGAACGTGGGTTTCGGTGGAGTGAGAAAGGGAGAAGAGCTTGCGGCGATGGATGCCGCAACGATTCTGGAAGATACGCCACTCCTCAAAGCTGGCACGACACAGCACTTGGTTTTCCAAAGGGGGGACGACCCCCCCTTCTACGCCGAGCACCTCC